TCTGTAATTCGTGTTACTGCAGTGTATAACTGTAATTTGTGTTACTATATATGGTGTATAACTGTAATTTGTGTTACTATATATGGTGAGTAACTGTGATTTTGTTACTGTGTCATGTTATTGTGGTGTGTTACTGTGATTTATGTTACTGTGGTGTGTAATTGTAATTTATGTTACTGTTGTGTGTAACTGTGGTGTGTAACTGTAATTTATGTTACTGTGTTTTGTGTAAGTGTCATTTGAGTTACTATATATGGGGTGTTACTGTGATTTGTGTTACTGTAGTGTGTGACAGTGGTGTGTTACTGTTGTATAACTGTAATTTGTGTTACTGTGGTGTGTTACTGTAATTTGTGTTACTGTGGTGTGTAACTGTGATTTGTGTTACTGTGATTTGTGTAACTGTGATTTGAGTTACTATATATGGGGTGTTACTGTGATTTGTGTTACTGTGCGGTGTTACTGTGATTTGTGTTACTGTGGTGTGTAACTGTGATTTGTGTTACTGTGGTGTGTAACTGTGATTTGTGTTACTGTGGTGTGTTACTGTAATTTGTGTTACTGTGGTGTGTTACTGTAATTTGTGTTACTGCGGTGTGTAACTGTGATTTGTGTTACTGTGGTGATCATGTGTTACTGTAATTTGTGTTACTGTGGTGTGTATCTGTAATTTGTGTTACTGTGGTGTGTTACTATAATTTGTGTTGCTGTGGTGTGTTACTGTGATTTGTGTTACTGTTGTGATCATGTGTTACTGTAATTTGTGTTACTGCGGTGTGTAACTGTAATTTGTGTTACTGGGGTGTGTTACTGTGGTGTGTTACTGTGATTAGTGTTACTGTGTCATGTTATTGTGGTGTGTTACTGTGATTTGTGTTACCGTGGTGTGTAACTGTAATTCGTGTTACTGTGGTGTATAACTGTAATTTGTGTTACTATATATGGTGAGTAACTGTAATTTGTGTTACTATATATGGTGTGTTACTGTGATTTGTGTTACTGTGGTGTGTAACTGTAATTTGTGTTACTGTGGTGTGTAACTGTGATTTGTGTTACTGTGATTTGTGTTACTGTGGTGTGTAACTGTGATTTGTGTTACTGTGGTGTGTAACTGTGATTTGTGTTACTGTTGTGTGTTACTGTGATTTGTGTTACTGCGGTGTGTAACTGTAATTTGTGTTACTGTGGTGTGTAACTGTGATTTGTGTTACTGTGGTGTGTTACTGTAATTTGTGTTACTGCGGTGTGTAACTGTAATTTGTGTTACTATATATGGTGTGTTACTGGGATTTGTGTTACTGTGGTGTGTAACTGTAATTTGTGTTACTGCGGTGTGTAACTGTAATTTGTGTTACTGCGGTGTGTAACTGTAATTAGTGTTACTATATATGGTGTGTAAATGTGATTTGTGTTACTGTGGTGTGTTACTGTAATTTGTGATACTGTGGTGTTACTGTGATTGTGTTACTGCGGTGTGTAACTGTAATTAGTGTTACTATATATGGTGTGTAAATGTGATTTGTGTTACTGTGGTGTGTTACTGTAATTTGTGTTACTGTGATTTGTGTTACTGTGGTGTGTAACTGTAATTTGTGTTACTGCGGTGTGTAACTGTAATTAGTGTTACTATATATGGTGTGTAAATGTGATTTGTGTTACTGAGGTGTGTTACTGTAATTTGTGATACTGTGGTGTTACTGTGATTGTGTTACTGCGGTGTGTAACTGTAATTAGTGTTACTATATATGGTGTGTAAATGTGACTTGTGTTACTGTGGTGTGTTACTGTAATTTGTGTTACTGCGGTGTGTAACTGTAATTTGTGTTTCTGTGGTGTGTAACTGTAATTTGTGTTTCTGTGGTGTGTTACTGTGGTGTGTTACTGTGATTTGTGTTACTGTGGTGTGTTACTGTAATTTGTGTTACTGTGATTTGTGTTACTGTGGTGTGTAACTGTAATTCGTGTTACTGTGATTTGTGTTACTGTGGTGATCATGAGTTACTGTGATTTGTGTTACTGTGATTTGTGTTATTGTGGTGTGTTACTGTGGTGTGTTACTGTAATTTGTGTTACTGTGATTTGTGTTACTGTGATGTGTTACTGTGATGTGTTACTGCGATATGTTACTGTGATTTGTGTTATTGTGGTGTGTTACTGTGGTGTGTTACTGTGATGTGTTACTGTGATATATTACTGTGATTTGTGTTACTGTGGTGTGTTACTGTGGTGTGTTACTGTGATTTGTGTTACTGTGATGTGTTACTGTGATGTGTTACTGTGATTTGTGTTACTGTGGTGATCATGAATTACTGTGACTTGTGTTACTGTGATTTGTGTTATTGTGGTGTGTTACTGTGGTGTGCTACTGTGATGTGTTACTGCGATATGTTACTGTGATTTGTGTTACTGTGGTGTGTTACTGTGATTTGTGTTACTGTGTCGTGTTACTCTTACTAATGATGCTGTGATGTGTAACTGTAATTCATGTTATTGTTGTGTGTTACTGTGATGTGTAACTGTAATTCATGTTACTGTGGTGTGTTACTGTAAGTTTTGTTAATGTCCCGTGTTACTTTTTATTTGTTACTATAGTGTTTATTACTGTCATGTTACTGTGGATGTGATTAATTCATCTCACCTTGTCCCCAAACTGTACACAGTTGATGCTGCACTTGTTGCTTGATGCTTTGAGCAGCATAGGCAGGAATTTACACACTGCATCAGAAACCTGGACAAAAAAAATAAAAATCAGAAAAAACACTTCTTTACAGCTGATATGATTTAATGTTCAATCAATTGATGTGATGTAAATATTGTTAAAAGGGTATAATTAGTTATGGTCACCAGATGTAAAGAACTCAATATTTTTGAAGAATATGTGTCAAAAAATTTCATAAAGTTTGCCTTGTATATTTGTATGCCCTACATAACTCAGAATAAATATATTCAAGACAAAGATGCTCTGCTCCAATACTTAAAACTAGCACTGCAAGGTAAAAAACGTTTGGTTAAAATAAATTTATATAGCGAGATTAAACAGATTTTTTTTAGACTGCTCATGAGATGTTCCCCAGTGTCTATCTTTTCTGGGTTTTACATCTAAGGATGCATCAACATTTTAGTTTTTGCATTCTTGCTTGTGTTTCTGGGTATAAAAGCGCATAACATGTCAACAGTTATAATTTGTTAAACACGTGTGAAAAGTGACACATATCATAACTAATATAATACTTTTCCTCAGTTTTAAAGCAAAAGCAATTTTTATCAGTTAGCCTGCAGAACTTAGAAATGGAAGGCAGCATTATTATGAATGAGCGTAATATATTAGGAAAATAAAACCAATTAAGATATTCAATGCACAACATCTTCCCCACCCCCCAAAAGTAATTTTTACTATATCCTGTGAGAAAACAAGGACATAGTCATTTAGATCCCCCACCAAAGGAATTTTAGAAAAGATTTTTGCAAACTACAGGGTTGATGTTATATAGTGAATTTTGTCCTTCAGTTTTACTACAATTCATTTTGATCTTAACTTCAGACCTCCAACATTGTCTCTGACTTCTTTATTAGGGAATTAGACTTTGGAAAATGGTGTTTTACAATATTAGTCTGCAGTGAAAATATTCTAAAAACTCCAAACTCTGTAAACACAAAATTTTATCGTTGAAACTGTGAATTAGGCAGTTTTGGCTTTGTTTCCAATTGGCAACAGAAAATTGATTTGTGTTAACTACACTTCCCTGATCACTTGTGTGATGAAGGTGACAGAAAACATACCATACTAGTAATCAAAACATCACACAGGAACAATTAACTGGTTGTGCTGCGTGAAGCTTTCTACGAACCGACAGGTGATGTATACACCTGATGTCATATCACAAAAACCAAGAATGATGATGTAATTCTGATGAAATAATCATCACAAATACCAAACAGTATGGTGTACATGTATTTATGTATCATATCATAATCACAAACACCCAACAGTATGATGTACATGTATCATATCATACTCAAAAACACCCAACAGTATGCATGGTGTACATGTATTTATGTATTATATCATAATCACAAACACCCAACAGTTTAATGTACATGTATTATATCATAATCACAACCACATAACAGTATGGTGTACATGTATTATATCATAATCACAAACACCTAACAGTATGGTGTACATGTATTTATGTATTATATCATAATCACAAACACCCAACAGTATGGTGTAGATGTATTTAGGTATCATATCATAATCACAAACACCCAACAGTATGATGTACATGTATTATATCATAATCACAAACACCTAACAGTATGGTGTACATGTGTTTATGTATTATATCATAATCACAAATACCCAACAGTATGGTGTACATGTATTTATGTATTATATCATAATCACAAATACCCAACAGTATGGTGTACATGTATTTATGTATTATATCATAATCACAAATACCCAACAGTATGGTGTACATGTATTTATGTATTATATCATAATCACAAATACCCAACAGTATGGTGTACATGTATTTATGTATTATATCATAATCACAAATACCCAACAGTATGGTGTACATGTATTTATGTATTATATCATAATCACAAATACCCAACAGTATGGTGTACATGTATTTATGTATTATATCATAATCACAAATACCCAACAGTATGGTGTACATGTATTTATGTATTATATCATAATCACAAATACCCAACAGTATGGTGTACATGTATTTATGTATTATATCATAATCACAAATACCCAACAGTATGGTGTACATGTATTTATGTATTATATCATAATCACAAATACCCAACAGTATGGTGTACATGTATTATATCATAATCACAAACACCCAACAGTATGATGTACATGTATTTATGTATTATATCATAATCACAAACACCCAACAGTATGGTGTACATGTATTTATGTATTATATCATAATCACAAATACCCAACAGTATGGTGTACATGTATTTATGTATTATATCATAATCACAAATACCCAACAGTATGGTGTACATGTATTTATGTATTATATCATAATCACAAATACCCAACAGTATGGTGTACATGTATTTATGTATTATATCATAATCACAAATACCCAACAGTATGGTGTACATGTATTTATGTATTATATCATAATCACAAATACCCAACAGTATGGTGTACATGTATTTATGTATTATATCATAATCACAAATACCCAACAGTATGGTGTACATGTATTTATGTATTATATCATAATCACAAATACCCAACAGTATGGTGTACATGTATTTATGTATTATATCATAATCACAAATACCCAACAGTATGGTGTACATGTATTTATGTATTATATCATAATCACAAATACCCAACAGTATGGTGTACATGTATTTATGTATTATATCATAATCACAAATACCCAACAGTATGGTGTACATGTATTATATCATAATCACAAACACCCAACAGTATGGTGTACATGTATTTATGTATTATATCATAATCACAAACACCCAACAGTATGATGAACATGTATTATATCATAATCACATCACCCAACAGTATGGTGTTCATGTATTATATCATAATCACAAACACCCAACAGTATGGTGTACATGTATTTATGTATTATATCATAATCACAAATACCCAACAGTATGGTGTACATGTATTATATCATAATCACAAATACCCAACAGTATGGTGTACATGTGTTTATGTATTATATCATAATCACAAACACCCAACAGTATGGTGTACATGTATTTTTGCATTATATCATAATCACATCACCCAACAGTATGGTGTACATGTATTATATCATAATCACATCAACCAACAGTATGATGTACATGTATTATATCATAATCACAAATACCCAACAGTATGGCGTACATGTATTTTTGTATTATGTCATAATCACAAATACCCAACTGTATGGTGTACATGTATTTATGTATTTTTTAATAATCACAAACACCCAACAGTATGGTGTAAATGTATAAATGTATTATATAATAATCACAAATACCCAACAGTATGGTGTACATGTATTATATCATAATCACAAACACCAAACAGTATGGTGTAGATGTATTTATGTATCATATCATAATCACAAATACCCAACAGCATGCATGGTGTACATGTATTTATGTATCATATCATAATCACAAACCCAACAGTATGGTGTACATGTATTATATCATAATCACAAACACCAAACAATATGGTGTAGATGTATTTATGTATCATATCATAATCACAAATACCCAACAGCATGCATGGTGTACATGTATTTCTGTATCATATCATAATCACAAACACCCAACAGTATGGGGTAAATGTATAAATGTATTATATAACAATCACAAATACCCAACAGTATGGTGTACATGTGTTTATGTATTATATCATAATCTCAAATACCCAACAGTATGGTGTACATGTATTTATTATCATATCATAATCACAAACCCAACAGTATGGTGTACATGTATTATATCATAATCACAAACTGAACAGTATGATGTACATGTATCATATCATAATCACAAACACCCAACAGTATGGTGTACATGTATTTATGTATTATATCATAATCTCAAATACCCAACAGTATGGTGTACATGTATTATATCATAATCACAAACACCCAACAGTATGGTGTACATGTATTTATGTATAATATCATAATCTCAAATACCCAACAGTATGGTGTACATGTATTATATCATAATCACAAATACCCAACAGTATGGTGTACATGTATT